GTAAATTGATTCCTAGACATTATTTGAAATGTATAAGTTTGATTTAACTTATTGATTTTGCATAAGTTTTGAACTTTTTGTTTTTGGAGGCTTATAAGGATCGTGTTCATGTGATGGCTAGGGTCTGGCCCTAGTATGGATTCGTGAGTTTCCTAAGTCATATGAAATGCGCAGTAGGTAGTACCTTGTGGGTCGTAATTACCTGGAATAACTTATACACGTGCGCACTAGGTAGTACCTTGCGGGCTAGTAACCCGGAATAACTCGATTGGTTTGCAGCCAAGGATCCTAGTCTTTCTCCTATTTGATTTCGCATTTAATTTCAAGTTGTTAATCATGGATTACTTGTAACTTGAGAATTGATGCCTACTTGGGTATTTGAATCCTGTTTAGTATACTTGAAACTGTATACTTGTTTTGTGTATTTAGATCATAATTAGTATACTTGAAACTATATACTTGTTTTGTGTATTTAGATCTCATTTAGTATACTTGATCTTGTATCCTTGGTTGTGTATCTAAACCCTAATTAGTGTACTTAAGCATTGCATGTTTAATTTGTGCAATCGGACTTCATTATATATACTTGTGTCGTGTATGCTTGTTTTACACGTAATTCATTTAGCTTAGTATATTTGTGCCTGTATACTTGATTCATGAGTTTTCCATGTTAATTGTATGTTTGTATATGCATGCTTAGACAATACATAACTTGCTTAACATGACTTAGTGTACTTGAGCATGTATACTTGTATGTCGTTGTTTATTTCAATTACATGAATAACTTAGGATGATCCCTGAGTCTCACAGTGACCTAGACGTTAGGTAGCATGAGCCCTTTAACATGTTTTACTTTAAGGTGATATAATTGTAAAATGCTAGGTCGATACATACTCATCTCCTACGAGTAGCTTTATGTTACGCAACCACGTAGTGGGGACATTTTTCAGGTACAGGGACCTTGATTTGGGATGCACACTATGTCATGGAAGTTTCGTAGACTTGAAGTATCATTTTCATGAAAATGTTAGCATGAAATGCTATTAGTAGCTTATATGTCAAAACTTGTATTCTTTAATTCCATATATGTAAAGTGTACATAAGTACACTCTTTTCAATGTATTTGACATGTATGAGATGAGGCCGGAGGCCAACGACATGTATTTGTATTCTATACACTTTCATTTTTTTTTAAGGTTATTTATGAAAATATTGTAAAATGCTAAGTCATTACTTCATAATTTTTGCACCGGGTGTGGGAATTTCATTCAGTTTCTTTCATAGGGTTTCTATGATCATGTATGAGGTGTAGGCAAGGGCCAAACACCATTTCGTTTTAGGTTTTACATTTTAGTTCCATTTATTGCATTTTTAGGCATTTTTGGCCATTGAGAGGTCATATTTTCCATTGGGGTCATTTTAAGGCCCCGGACCATTGGGATGCGTCATAAATGTTTTTTTTTACGTTTGCGTGCATATCCACATTGCATAAAACTCTTAAGTTTCAACTTTGGAACTAATTTTGGGTGATTTTATAAGTTTTTATGCAAAAACCTTGCATTGGGGTGTCAATTGAGTTCCTCTTTGGTTTGACATGTTTTAGATACTTAAATGAGGTTAGGAAATGTTTTGAAACGTGTTTGGATCATGTAGAAAGCATGTAGAACCTTGGAGATGGACCAAGCACCATTTCCACATATTACAATAGCTTTTCATAGCAGCAGCAAGTGTGTTGGTCAGTTGATGGAGCTTCATCGGTCGGCTGACGAATCCCTCGAGACCATTCCAGTAGCCATTTTAGGATTTTAGGCGTTTCGGTCGGCTGACCATGGGGGTTCGGCCAACCGACGGTTGAGTTTCGGCCAGCTGATGGTTATATTTCGGTCGGCTGATTCTCCCTGGAACCACCCCTTCTCAGCTTCTCTTGGACAGCCTTGTTGTTCCAACTTTGGAATGACATATCTCTTTTATTTCTTGTCCAAATCGGTTCATTTTTTAGTTTAAGTTCAGGAGCTTGAAGTTCGCCTTCCAATGGTACCAACCATTCATCAAAACTCCACATGTAGTGAGAGTTATTCTAGTTCTAGTAAGATAGTGTCGTGGTATGTCTTAAACGGGGAAAGCCAATTTGTTTTAAATTCATATCTTTTTCGTCCGGACTCAGAATCAGGTGATTCTTGAATCTAACTTTGTTCATTTTTTGTTGTCTTGCCAATGGTGTGCACAGTGGCACCCATTTTAGTTTGGAATGACCATTTTGCCCTTGGTTCATTTCTTTTCGGATTGGCATTCTTGCTTCATTTGTTGGCTCAACTAAGTTCCGTGGCTTCATGGGGAGTCACTTTGGTGCCTTAGGGAAGACGTACATCTCTTGAAGCCATTTTACTTCTTTCGCTTCTACATTTCGGATCCGTTATCGGGTCATCTTTTGGTTCATCACATGACACACTGGGTTTAAAAATTCAGAGTCGTCACAAAACATCGTTCCTAAACGTGCTTCTGATTTTTTTCTAAAATACTCCTACAAAAAAACATTGTTTCTATTTTAGCAAAAACAAATTGTCTAAAATAGAGTCCATGCCAAACGGGCCCTTATAATAAAAAAAAAATAAAATTTAAATACTGAAAATTTTATTTTGTCAAACTTACTTTGGGGATCTATTTGAGTAACCTTATTCAAAAAATAAAAAAAAATAAAAAGAAGAAAAAGAAAAAGAAAAAGGTTGCTTTTAAGGACTGGGATTTTGTCCAGGCAAACAAGGAATCTCTGTCTCTCACTGTCAAAACACAACACCTGTGTCAGTTCATGTAAACCTCATACCCCTAACCACCATTCCAATTCGTGCCACCGATCAAACCCCCCAATTTCTGTCAGATGTATTATTCGTTATTCTTTATGTCTCAAAAACAGATGCCTTACTTGAAAAATCATGATATTTTTCAAACAGGACATCTAATTTGGGACGGAGATAGTACATATTATTGACTGTGGAGCAATTGCATACGTGTGTGTATGAGAGAGAGAAAGAGATTTCTGTCTCAAAAAAGATGTTCTGTTTGAAATATAGAGAGAGAGAGAGAGAGAGAAATATGACCCACTTTTTCATTACTGCTTCAATCAGTCAACTATACTTCAAAATTATTGTGAATTAGCTACTGCAATTTGTAATATATGTGGTTGGCCACTTGGCCTTTACACGCGAACTTTACTATCTGTTTATTTATTTATTTTTAGGACAAAAATGTTACTCCCTCTGTTTTATTTTAGATGTCGACTTCAGAAATTGTGATTCACAAATTAAAAAATTGTGACTCACAAATTGTGAGTCCCAATCCCCGAAACCGACATCTAAAATGAGACGGATGTAGTATTTTGATTAGAAGTTAAAGATGGAAAGCTTAAGAGTCGGGTTTCTAAAGACAAAGGGAGAAACTTGACCGCTGAGTTACGAAAGTATTCCCTAGTTAGGGAAGACCGATAACCTTCAATTGTAATTATAAATGAGCTAGGTCGAACCTGATTAAAACTCCATTAACCGGAGACGAATTTAGTTAGGTCTTAGCAACCATAGTAATTGTGGTCCCTTATGTGTTAGTAGGATCTTATAGGTATCATATCAAACTAGGGATTCTTTGATTTTTTAAGAAATACAAAAAACTTTCACTATTTATGGTATGGCCGCATTATCGCACCTTGTTGGTGTTGAGAACTTTTCTAATTTGAAATGTTGTTTTTTCTTTTCTTTTTTTCCTAGTAAATTTTATTTGAGATATTGCTTCATCAACATTTTTTTTTTCTATTTTTTCTAGCAATTGTCACTTTTCGTACGTTCAACGAGATGAGTGCCACAAATTGGTTCCTTGATGGATTTATGGATAAATAGTAGGAATTGTTTAAAATAATAATAATAATAATAATAATAGTAATAATAGGTTACTCCACTCATGCTGTTTATATGTAGTAGCATACTTTGAAGTGCAGTAGCTTGAGATCGAGTTCTGTGGTTGGATTGCGAATATACGCCTTTATATCATGTACTACTAAATTTCATGAATGAGGGTGTGCAAGCTTGCAATATTTAAAAGTCTCTCATTTTACAATTTTTTTTTTCTTAGTTGGTACTCTCACACACTTATCTTTCCTGAAATTTGAACCCTTGACCTCCCTTTAAGAAAAAGTAAGAGGTTAATACCGCTAGGTCACTAGGCCGTTGGTAATATCTCATTTTACATAGTTATATGTAAAATGGTTTTATTTAGGTTCAGTTTCATTTAAAGTTAAAAAGAAAAAAGAAAAAAAGTAAAGTGAATGAGAAGAAAATATAATTTCATTATGTATTTGATTAACATGAATTGTTTGGAAAAAAAAAAAAAAAAATTATGAATAATCACTATTTCATGGTCTGAATAACATGAAACTTAGGATAAAAAAAGTCATTGTTGGAAGTTTATAAAACTTTCTTAAGAAATTAATTTTTTCCTATGAAAATATCAGGTGGTTATAAATATATATGTATATATATATATATATATATTTTTTTTTTTTTTCTTGCCCTGTTAACCAAACTTTTAAAATATTCACAAAATTTTTATCTAATAAAAAAAAATTAAATTGAATACCAAAACACCTTTGACCCAATAGTATAACCATGCCATCTCAAAGAAAGCACCTTTAACCCAATAGTATAACCATGCCATCTCAAAGAGGAGGAATGGAGTTTGAACTTGGGCATAAGAATAAAGAAAAGAAAAAAATTGCATGTGTTTGCTTTAACAACATGACAGAGATTGGCCTGGGCGTGTCTCATGTGTTCTTGAAAAAAGTGGTGTTAAACAAAATTAAAATAATTTGCCACTTGACCCATTAAAAACCATTTATACACAAGACCTGCATCCGAGGAAGGTAGTTGGCCCTAAAGGTCATCGTTTGTTAATCAACTCCAAAAAAAAAAAAAAAAAAAAAAAACAGATAAAAGTAAGATTTATCATGAGCATGAGTTTGTATAAGATTTTGCTAGAATCTGTTTGTATAACAGTTTCCATCAACCTATGCACTTCATTCCAAAATAATGTTTGCTAATGAGCTTTTGTTGGTCTTATCCTTGTTTTTGACATTGAAAATGAGGAATAATACATGTAACATCAATGTTGTATTAATGCATGTGACGTGTTCACTTCGAGTTTTTAATGGGGTTGCATGTACTTTGAATTAATATTCATATTAATTCCTTTCCAAGCTAGGCTTCTATATGAGCTTCTTTATATAGCAGAGAGTATTAATTAGTAGTCTGTTATATATATATATATATCTTCAGTTCATCAACTTTTGGGGTATTTTAATTTGAATTTCATAAAGATGAGAAGTCCAAGTCTGAGAGATCCAGATCCAGATACGGACTTGGCTCCTTCAATGGTAGTGATTTTAGGGTGTTTTGCTTTTGCAGTCTTCTGGGTACTGGCTGTTTTTCCAGCAGTTCCATTTCTACCCTTTGGTAGGACTGCAGGGTCCCTATTAGGTGCCATGCTCATGGTTGTCTTCAATGTTATAACTCCAGAGGAAGCATATGATTCTATAGACCTCTCAATCCTTGGCCTTCTTTTCGGAACCATGCTTCTAAGTGTTTATCTCGAAAAAGCCGACATGTTCAAATACTTGGGCAAATTGCTCTCCTGGAATTCCCAAGGTTCCAAGGATTTGCTCTGCCGAATTTGTGTCATATCCGCCATTTCAAGCGCTCTCTTCACCAATGACACTAGTTGTATTGTCTTGACAGAGTTTGTCCTCAAAACCGCGTCGCAAAACAATGTCAGACCTCATCCATTCCTGCTAGCGTTGGCCACAAGTGCCAATATTGGATCTTCTGCAACTCCAATTGGTAACCCACAAAACTTGATTATTGCCATCCTCAGTAACTACTCTTTTTGGGACTTCATCGTGGGAATTCTCCCTGCAATGCTCGTAGGCGTTGCTGTGAATATTCTACTACTTCTTTGCATGTTTTGGAAGTTGTTGTCTGTCAAAAAAGACCAAATTAGAAGTGCTCCTTCAGAAACCAGCTCTGAGGAAGTTATTTACCATCATTACCCACCTCCAAATATGTCACACCTCACGTCTCAGGAATGGAATTCCGTAGCTCAAGCTCCGAATGCTTGGAGCAACCAAAATTTAGACGGGAACCCAGGTCTTCGCGAAACTCTCATGAACCAGAATACTGATATTATGGAGTGTTTGGAAAATGCAGCTCCGATACAGACTGTGGATTGGAAGAGATTAGTATGGAAGTCCTGTGTTTATATTGTTTCACTAGGAATGCTGATTGGGTTGCTTATGGGGTTTAATATGTCATGGACTGCAGTTACTGCAGCACTTGTTCTTCTAGTCCTTGATTTCAAAGATGCCCAGCCATGCCTAGATAAGGTAAATTATGTAGACACACACATATATAAGTATTGTTTATTAGTGTTCCTTTACTCTGTGTGATCATAGATTCATGTTCATACTAGTCATGACAAAGTTTTAAGTTGTTGTCAAGCTACCAAACGCAACCTTTCTCCTTTATCTGAGCTTGGAACCCGGTGTGTAAAGAACACATGCAGGCGAAGTTTGTTGAGTTATATATGTTCCTAATGCTCTATTTTTTTCTTCATGAATCAGGTTTCATACTCTCTCCTTCTATTCTTTTCTGGAATGTTTATCACGGTCGAAGGCTTTGACAGAACAGGACTACCAGACACTCTCTGGAACATCACACAGCATCATATGAGGCTTGATCACCTTAGTGGCATTGTTTTGCTTTCGCTTCTAATACTTGTCCTTTCAAACGTTGTTTCAAATGTACCTACTGGTAAGTTGATGCAACTATTCATCTTATTCATTCTGTTGGTGATGTAGGGAACTGATAATTGTGTTAATAATTCATTCAAGATAGAGTTTTAAATCTTGAAAGTTCAGTGTCCACAGCTTTTAGCATAAGGCATCCCACTTTTCCCAACTTTCAAGACCCATATATCACCAATTCACCATATTTACTTCTCCCTGTTGTTTCAGTACTAGAGTTTCCTACCTTTATTTTTGGATGATGGATCCATTTATTGCAATGAAAATCATGTCCTTGGGAGAAGTAGTGGAAACAACTTCCACGCCATTAGAACAAAAAAATAAATAAAAAATCAGTGCACAATTTTTCTGTCTATGTAATCCTTTTGCTTGCAAAAAGGGTGTTTTGTTCCCAGCCGGAGCAATCTGTTGTTTTCTTTCCGGAGCAATCTTACCGTTGCTCCCATCTCTAACCTCCATAGTGAAAAGAAATACATGAAGAAGTAATAGATAATAAATAAAGTGATGTCGTTAGGGTTGAAGTTTTGAATGAATGGTCAATTGGTCATGGTTAGTTTGATTTGCTTCTAAGGTTTTGTGACCGGTCACTATATATAATACTCCGTATCTATAATGTTGGTGATTCATCTAGGGGAGTTAAGAAATTGCAAGACAAAGTAAGGGGTGTTTAGGGAATTGATACTTCTTGGGAAATCACATGATCTCAATAGGACGAAGAGGATGATGGATCTTCTGTCCACCACACGTACGTATTAGCTCCTTTGTAATATCTTCGTCTGGTACGAGCGACACTCACTACAAGAAAGGAGACAAAATCAGGGTTACTTTTGTCATTTGAAGGAGGACTTTAACTTTGTCATTTTTGTCTGTCGAATGTGTGGCCTGGAAATGTCATGTTTCTTTTGGTTGCCTCATCAAACAAATTAACCAATTATGGGGGGAACCTTGAGAATCTGAGATTGGGCTACTATTTAATTCACTAGAAAAAGATTATAAATTTTACTATAATGGAACACTTTTTCAAAGGAATTATATAATTCCTTTTTTTTTTTTTCTAAGTATTCAATGTTGGGTGAAGCTTCTGTTTGTCTGAAATGGTCCTTTTGCTTGTCTTTAGTTGTCTGTACGAGTGTGTGTATTAATTATGTATTGTCTGTATATAATGTGTTATTACAGTTCTTCTGCTTGGATCAAGAGTGGCAGCAGCTGCAGCATCAATATCACCGGTGGAAGAGAGGAAGTCGTGGCTCATCTTGGCGTGGGTGAGCACCGTTGCCGGGAACTTCACACTGTTGGGATCGGCTGCAAACCTGATAGTGTGTGAGCAAGCTCGTCGTTCTGAGTTTTATGGCTACAGCCTTTCCTTTTGGAGACACCTCAAATTCGGAGTGCCCTCCACTCTCGTTGTAATGGCAATTGGCTTGAAACTGATACATGGTTAAGAATTTCGCAAAACTACATTTGATTCATCACAACCATTCATACATGCACCTCTCATGCAAGTTCTCCAACAATTGGACGCGTGGAGAAATGTGTACTTAGACCCGGTAAGTGATGAGTAGTGATACTTGTATGAATATTTATAATGAATTGTTTAACGGAATAATTTTTAATTGGTTATTTATACCAAATATAATTAAATGAAGAGTTCCACTTCTTTATTTGTTGCATAATTGACTAATTAAAAGAGTACATCTAACAATTCACTGTAACTATTCGGTGCAAGAATCATTTTATTCAAATAATTGAGCTATTCAACTTCTTTTCTTTTTTTTTTCTTTTTTTTTTTTATGATGTAAACTGTACGTGTAATATTTTGTTAGCAAATTAAGCAGGAAGTTCATGGCAAGTGCTTAAAAGTACAGATGCATAAATGATACAGAATATACATTTTATAAATTTGATAAGTGATAAATAAAACCTATAACATATGATTATAAGATCAATTATTTCCAAGAAAAGTAAATTACTACGATGAACGTCCTACCTAAGTACTAAATATCTTAAAGTACACAGGAAGGATAAGATAATGTCTTGTTGAAGTGAGAAAATGACATGCAAACAATCATTTTCCAGCAAGATAAGCTAGGCCTTGGCCCACTGTTAGAAATTGTAAGCTCGTGAAGAGACTTCTCATGTTCAATCTTCAGAAATTGGTCAGGAATATTTATCTCCTCTGCTCGGGGACTTCTTCTTCGTTATCATCAATTCGGCGTAATGTCTTTACTTTACACACATATATATACACCCACCTACATGCTTAGTAATATTTTCGATCTAAGAGCTAAGTAAGTTGAGAACTATTTGCATAAATTACAATTTATAATGCGATTGAAGCAATCATTCACAATGGGACCCGAATTTCCTCCTACAGAGAGGGATCTTGTTCGCCCTGTACATCAAAACAGTACCATTTTGGTACTGCAAATAAGTAATCATCTTCCTTCACGGTAAGAGTTTAGCAGTCATAAAATTATACGGAGTTGTGACTTGAACAAATACATTCTATTTTTTGTTTTTTGTTTTTTTTTGTTGTTTTCATAAATTCAAACTAGTGTAATAGTAAGTATAAATTTACAACGATGGGCCTAAGAGCCCAAGACAAGGCCCAGCCCAAGCACAGCAACTAGCGTCTCTCAATCTCTGCATCTAACCGAAATTGAAAGCAGGGTTGCAACGGTTTAACTCCTTTTTGAATACTCTGTTTTTTGTTGTTTTAATGCAAATAACAAAATACCACTAAACTCATTAATTCTTTATCTAAGTTGAGGACAAGTCTATAATATCATTTTATTTTTTTAAATAAATGGAGTACATAAAGTGGGATAATTTAAATATCCTTTCTTTTTTCTTTTTCTTTTTGTCAAATCCTTTCTTCTTCTTTCTTTTTGTCACCTTTTTTTTTTATATAATTTTTCTTTTAACTTTCTTCAAACTTATTAAAAAAATTCAAATTATGAATCTATCAAAAGCATAACTTCCATGCATTTCAAAGGCAACTTCCATGCATTGTCATTATGACTTCTTTATAAGTCAACTCATTTTTGTAAAGAATTTTAAGGCATGTCATGACTTATAAAGTCATTATTCTTCTCCTTATTTTTTTTCCCCTAGTTTATACGTTTGACCGTTGAATTTTAAAGCCTGCAAATCTAACAACATTTCAAGTCAAAAAAAAAAGAAAAAGAAATATTGGTCAAACATATCCGAATTTTTTTTTTTTTTTTTTTTTTTTTTTCTGGCAACAAAAGAATACGGTAACTAAATATTGAGAAAGGAAAAATGATTCTTGTACCGAATAATTGTAATGAATTGCTAAACTTATTCTTTTAATTAGTCAATTATGTAACAAATAAAGATGTAGAATCCTCCATTTAGTTGTATTTGGTATGAATAATTAATTAAAAATTATTCGATTAGTTAATTTACTGCAAGCGTTTGTTATGAGTATAATAACTACTCTTGAAAAAGTTAATTGTAGTATATTTGGAGTGGTAAAGATTAATTAAGTCTGAGTTTAAGAAAAGTGTTTTTTTTTTTTTTTATTCCTCTCTCGCTTCTTAGAAAGGTAACAAGAATGTGAGAAGCAAAGTCAATTAATCAAAAAGTCAGGGACTACAATCACTATGAACCTAAATCCCCATTAAAAATACACATAAATCTAACTTCAATAAATCCACACTTAGTATATATATAATATATATGGTAATATATAAAAACTCTAAATTTGGAGAGAGTGACAACTGATTTAAAAACATGAAATGCGGGCTATGTTGTGATGGACGCTACATTCATGATTCGAGTTATTTATTATTCTCGAAAGTGTATTAAGGTTCAAATATATATATATATATATATATATATATATATATATATATATAAATGCTTTTCCACGATGAAGAATTAAAGGCATACATAAATGTATATATTAATCATTCTTCTTTGATTATGTTTTCTATTTGAGTAGCACCCATTTTGTGTTTACGTGCTTGTATATGTATCAAATTTAAATTCCTTTATTATGGACGTTACGTGACATAATAAATAACACACCATACAAAATTTAAGGATTAAATATGTTTTAATTTATAATTTATGAATGAAATTCACAATAACATGTGAAGAATAAATATAAATTATACCATTTGTCTGGTCAGAATCAGTGCGCGCGATGATTAGATTCCTAAGATAAAAACCAAATAAAATATAATTTATGCAAAATTTATTTTTCGAGTCAAAATTGAGTCAACTCGGGGGAAAAGCAATTCGTGTCACAACTCAACAAAGGCTACGGGATATAATGATTTAGACAGAAAAGTAGTTAGTACTGTACAATAGTACATAAAGAAGAATAAGGTAAGACATCGTATTTACATATAAAGTTAACAAGAAAGGACTTGTAATAGAATCCTAATTGCGTAAAGCATTTGAAATTAGTAACTGATGGTGAGATAAATATGAACCAGTTTCGGTTACTATATCGAGGAAATAATCATATGCACTACGTACCATTGTAATACCGTACATGCTTCATCACCGTGTATCCGATCATACAACAAAAAGACATCATATGTATCCAACGTTCAGATCTCAGTAGCACCTTTTAATCTCACGTCAGTCGTCTCACAAGTCCACTCCTATTTAATATCGGCAATGTAATCCACTATTATATTACCTGTAACGCTCCAATATTTTATTACAAGTAACGCTTGGACAGTGACAAACTCTCTCTCTACATTTCTCTCTCTCTCTATATTTCCTGGTCTTCTATCATTTTCTCCTAACGTTTCAGTTTCTCTTCTCCGGCGAACTGATGATACTACGACCACATGCGACTTCCATCCGGCTCGTCGTGCTTTTTTCCGGTGAGTGGTTAGGGTTTTAGACTTGCTCTATTGAGCTTGATTTCATCAATTCTAATGGACGAATTTCAGACATATCAACACACGATTCGCATGTACAAATGGTTGTTCAATTTAGGTTTTTGTGTTTTTGGAATCGAAAATTGTTGTTTGTTCAATGTATTGATGGACTATCTTATTGCTTTTGTGACTTAAAAATTCAATTAGATTTTTTCTTACTACTTATGTGGCTTCATTATCAGCTGAATTTTAACAAAATTTTCAATTTTGAGGAACTATTTCATGTTGAGTAGTTTAAGACCTACCCTTTTTTTCTGGACATCCTTATTTGGTCCTGCACAAACACACACACATATATGTACGTGTATATATATATATATATAATTAATTTTATTTTGATTTATCTGGATGATTGGTTGAATTTGTCCATCTCTTTGAGGAAGTTTGTGTTTTGGGTCATTGAGTTCGAGTACGTTATGTTTCAATATTCTGTGAATCTGTTTCAGTTATGATATATGACGCTGGAACTCTATTCTGGTAGTAGTAGAAGTTATCAGGAAGAATTTTTGTAATTCTTTTTGCACTGCAAAACTGAATTGGAATCATAACATTAGAAAACATGAGACCTGTCGGAGTTGGTTAATATGGTATTTGGATGTGTTTTCTTTATATACATTAACAGACTGCAAAAATCAGTGGGCAATGAATTGGATGTGAGACTGGTGATCTTTAAGTTGAACAGACAAAATATTAAAAAGCTGAAGTTGAACTACCTACAGCTTGTTGGTTTGGGTCATATTGTCCATTGAAAAGACTAGAGTTGCAATATTTGTAGCTGCTATATAGAAAATTAATTGTTGAATTAGTGTAAATATACATTTATTTAGAGGATCTTTAGAAGTCCCTCGGAATTGACTGGTACCATAGAGTTTTTACTTTGCACTTTATGGATAAGTATATCATCTTGAATGCGTCCATTTGAAAAATGAAAACCATTTCAAAAATAATGTTGAAAATTTCTATTTCAAGGAAACTAATGATAACATGCCTTCGAGTATTGTAAATGAACAAAATACTTTTGGGATGGATTTTTGCTTCAAATGCCACCAGAAGCATAATGGTACCATTGAAATTCAGATGGATGCCCAAATGCACCTTTACGGTTTTGCTTAATTTATCCATGAGGTTGTGCTAGAAATGATAGTTTGGCATGGTTTGCTATGCCATTGTAACTTTTTCATAGTCTGAGGAATATTTGTTACTAGATCTTTGTGCAATGTAGAACTTAGGGTTGAGTTGTCTTGGTCTCTTTGAAGATACTGGTATATGCATTGTCCAGCTATCTAAATCACTGCATTGTTCTCCAATCATGGCAGGAATGTTAGCTTCAGAAATTGTGCATAATGAGGAATTGTAACAAGGTAGCCTTGATGCCGAGCATGCATTGGAAAAAGAAGGGTGTTCTATTTATAAAACGAGTGAGGGAGGAGGAAGGGGATGTGAGATTTTCCTATATTTCAGAGCCAACAGGGACCACAGTTTCTTGACATGTGTAAGATGATGGAACAACCTCTACGATATCACTGGGCATGGTCATAAGCTAGTTGGTGGTTATTATATGTTAATAGCCAGTCTGTAAATCATCACGTGTCTTGGATCTTTACATCTCATTTTTATAATTAACTTAAATTGGAAATGTATTCACTTCACCAAAAAAAGAGTACACATTTTGATACAGTTCAAATGACCTACATTTTCCTCTTTTCGGAATTGTTTTCTTTGTTAGATTGAAATGCTCTTTATAATTTACGAGATGGAAGTCTTCATTAATCTTGTGATGTTTTGGTATTGGCGTTGATCTTCAAGCTTGTGATGCTTGTCCTAAAATTGAGTTTTGATAATGAACTGTTTTGTGGAGTTTAGGTTTGTTTGAAATGTGTAGTATAGAGTTGACATGTAATTCGAAGCTTGACTTTGTAATATACAGTAGTTTCTTGAAACAGAGAATTTCCTGGTTGTGTTTTTGAGAATTTGAAATTTATAATGTTTTACATAAGTGGATGAATGTTTATATTATGAGGATGCAGTAATAGCTTATATCGGAACTATGTATGGGGTGCAACAGTGAATGACATTCTTTTGTGCTATGAGAAACTTTGCAAACTTTAGAATTGGCATGTTCATATTGGGAAACTATTGGAACTCTTTAACAACTTTGTGTTGCATGTAACTAGGAAAAAAAAAAAACTTGGTGTTGCATGTTGAATAGAATTTGCACACACAGTTACATACTAGTATTGGTGTGTGTATGGTTGTGTTTATACTTGCTACATAGCATAACTGTGTGTCTATCGATTTTTAGACAACACTATTTCTAACATGACGTTCTTTTTTTCCTCGGGATTATGGTGTAGGGTGACAGGCGAGTAGTGCTCAATAAACAACTATAATCTTTTGAAATCTGCAAATATATAAGCTGTCTTCTGTTGCACTCACTTATCAGGCTGAAATAACTCAAAAGCATTTTCTTCCATATAAATATATCTAAATTTTCTTCTCAAGCATTTATGTCGGTATGGAAAATAATAGTTTGACAAATAATGGGTCTCAAATTTTGTATAGTTTAGTCCAACTTATTTTATTTATTTATTTATTTATTTTGATAAGTAAGTTTAGTCCAACTTATTACTGCATCTTCTAATTGTCCACTAATATCTGGATGTATATAACTTTATAGTCAAAGTAAAATTATCTAACAATGTATAATACGCCCAAGAAATTCTAAATGATTATCTTGATTTTGCGAAAATGCAACTAAAATTTAATTCCGGACCGGTGAATTCAGGACTAACGACGGACACATTTCTAATATTTTTAAAAATATTTTGTTCTCTTGTTTAAGTTATATACTGTTTTTAGTTTTAAACTCTGTTGACTTCATTGTAGAGGTATCACGGAATGATGTTCTCGGAAGTATATAATTCATCATATTTTATAGGTAGATTAGGAAATATATATATATATATATATATATATGGATATATGGATAGATAGATACAGATGACAGGATAATTTATGTAGTTTAAGCTGATTGGTGCTACTCATGGCACTTCCCTCAAAAGGCTATAGGTAATTTTGCTGTGAAGTTATGGCACCAGGTCCCAAATAAAGCACCCTAAGTTTTCAGCATAAGCTCAATTTTGTTCTCGATGATTCACACGCACGATGTGGGGGGATGGATTCAGTTCACTGATATCTGTATCTATGACTCTTGCAAAGCCTCCTTGTTCTTTCCTTGTATGGACATGGTTTTTGACTTTCCTTAATTTTTTACCCTATACGAAATAAATGATCATGTTTCTGAATTGTTGCATCACATGGTGATATCTGACTACCAAGTTTGTCATTATTTATGGATATTTGTGTAGACATTTCTGTTGAGGTCTCAAACAGATGCCCAATTTTGTTATTAGCTAATTTATTCTAGAGCTAAAGTCTTACATAATTTGATTTTATGCATGCTCTGTTGTGTCTGCTATATAAATTGATTCACTGCTTGTAAAATTTTGTTGTTTTATTTATTTGGTTAAAAGCCTAATATCGTTTTCCCGAATTGTTGCGATCCATGGTAATTTCTGACTACCAAGTTTGTCACTATTTATGGACATTTGTTTAGACATAGATGCCAAATTGGTTATTAGCTGTTATATTCTAGAGCTAGAGTCTTGCATAATTTGATTTTGTGCATGCGGTGTTGTGTCTGCTATATAAATGAAACACTGATTGTAACATTTTGTTGCGTTATTTATTTGGTTAAAAAGCTAATATTGTATCATGGTAATATCTAACTACCAAGTTTATGACCGTGTATGCTCATTTGTTTTGACATTTCTGTTGAGATCTCAAACATATGCCAAATTGGTTTATTAGGCTAGAGCTAAAGTCTTACATAATTTGACTTTATGCATGCTCTATTGTGTCTGCTATATAAATAAACACTGCGTGTAACATTTTATTGCTTTATTTATTTGGTTGAAAAGCTGATATTGTTCCACTTACATGCAGGGCCTTCTTATGGACAAGTCCTTTTAAACCACCCTAGCATCTTCTTGACATTCTAAAACAGAGTTATTTCCATTTAGCTGTGCCCTTTTTTGGGAATTTGGTGGAGAAGGCCATTTGTACATAATATGGTTATCTCAAACTTTTTTCAGTCCACATCTGGTCACTAGTTCAGTGTACATTTGATCTTCATTCAGATATAGTTTGTCGTATTCTAGGAGTATTTGCTGATTGGTGTTATAAATTTGTTAATAATCATGCCTTCATGGTGGGGAAAGTTTTCATCCAAGGAAGTAAAGAAGAAAGAAAACAAGGAAAGTTTCATTGATACATTACAAAGGAAATTTAAGAATGCATCTGAGGAAAAGTGCAATAGTAGGTCAGTAGGTTCTCGCAGACGTTCTAGTGACACCATATCGGAGAGGGGATCTGGATCTCATGCGGAGACACAATCACCGTTGCCCTCCACACAAGTATCCCGCTGTCAGAGTTTTGCAGAAAGACCCCACGCGGAACCACTTCCTCTTCCCGGAGTGAACCTTACGAGAATAGGACGTACTAATTCTGGAACCAGTGTGTCAATAAAACCAGGATTCAACAGAGGCTCCAAGCCTTCAATGTTTTTGCCCCTTCCTAGACATGGGCATGATCTGAATAGGCCAGATCTTACAGATGCTGAGGGAAATTTAGCCAGTGCTTCTGTTTCTAGTGATAATTCCATTGATATTGATGACCCATCTGATTCACGACTCCTCAGTCCTCAGGCTTCCGACTACGAAAATGGGAATAAAACTGCTATGAATAGCCCTTCCAGGTGAGTTACCATGATATGCCTTTAAGTCTATGATGTTCAGTGAATGGTGATAATGTAAAGAGTTAATTATTTATCCTTGTGTTTACATTTTGGTTTATTCCTTCCCTAACAAAATTTATTTCTGCTTTGTTGAAGCATAAAGCGCAGTAATCAGGCTCCTGTTGCCACCCAAAAGTACTCAAAGGAGACTCTAAAGCCAGTTAATGTTCTGTTGAATAACCAAACTCTCCCTGTATCACCTAAGCATGAACCTCTAAGCTCTCATAATTTACAGATTACTCCTCATGGTGCTTTCTTTAGTGCTCCAGATAGTGCATTGTCAATTCCTTGTTTTAGTCCAATGAGAGTATTTGGTCCTGAACATTTCATGAACTCTGGTTGCGTGGCAGGGAAGCACTATTCTGACATAGCTTTACTCGGGTCTGGACACTGCTCTAGTCCAGGTTCAGGTCACAATTCTGGGCATAACTCAGTTGGGGGAGAGCTGTCAGGACAATTGTTCTGGCAGCACAGCAGGTGTAGCCCTGAGTGTTCACCAATACCTAGCCCCAGAATGACCAGCCCAGGTCCCAGCTCCAGAATACACAGTGGTGCTGTCACTCCTTTGCATCCACGAGCTGTTGGGGCAGTCGCAGAGTTCTCCACAAACTGGCCTGATGATGGGAAGCAACAAAGCCACCGGTTGCCCCTTCCGCCCATATCAACTTCTATTTCTTGTCCTTTCTCTCCTTCATATTCTCCGGCAACAACTCCTGCGGTTCCAAGAAGTCCTGGTAGGGCTGAAAATCCAACAAGCCCTGGTTCGCAGTGGAAGAAGGGGAGACTGCTGGGTAGAGGCACATTTGGACATGTCTATCTTGGTTTTAACAGGTCTATAACCAAAGAGATGTTCCTCACTCAAAAATTTCCCATATATATATATTGTTATTTACCATTGAATATTTTTCTTATAGTTGATACTTTCTCGTGATCTTTTACATTGTCCATACCTTTTTTGTAATCTGTAATTTCTTTATGCATTGGTTTACTTTTAAATAATTTTTAACATGTGATTTTACTTTTAATGCATGAAATTAGTGAAAGCGGTGAGATGTGTGCAATGAAGGAGGTAACACTATTTCTTGATGATTCAAAATCGAAGGAAAGTGCACAACAGTTAGTGCAAGTAAGTTTGTTGTAGTAGATCTGATGAACTTCATAGTTTGAGGATGAAGATAATACACTTTCTTATATATTTGATGGCTTACTTGTGTTCTACTTTTTGTGACTTTGAGCAAAATTTCACACTTGCTGTTCATATTTGGCAGGAAATTGCACTATTAAGTCGTTTACAACATCCTAATATTGTGCAATATTTTGGTTCTGAGACTGTAAGTGTTTTGTACTATTTGCTGCAGTATTTTGCTTGGTTTGTTTATCATTTTGAGATCCCAATCTATATTTTGTTGCTGATAATTTATTTTTTACAAAAGTTGAAATGGTCTTGTGTTTTACAAGGAATTAATAAGTTCCATCTAATATTTATGTAAATTAGGCACTGACCCTCTGTTATGATATGGAGTACAATGAATCCAGATTTGTTAGAAAAGTAATGAATCCAGATTTTATGATCATTTTTCCAACCGCTGAGTTCCGTTATGTGAAATCTTGGTTTACTTTATTAGGACTATTTCCTAATCTTGTAGAGTTTCAGAAATGAGGAAGGGTGTGAGGGTTTGATGTATATCGAGCTTCAAAATTGAGGGAGCATCCCCTCCTCCATCTGTTCTTATCTTGCACCTGGAGAGACATAGGCAGTGTAGACTGCAAATAGTCATGGGAAATATGCTAATGAGTCTCACAGGAGGTTGACTCCTTTAATTTGTAGCTTTACTAGATCTGTGAAAACAAAACTACCCCTTAACTTGTATCAGATATGCATAACTCCCTTAAGGCACTTGATTTAGCTGTATCATGTATAGTTTGGTACACAAATTTGAAAACTGGTTCTTGTTTAAATCTTTAGTAAATACATCATTTCATAAGGGTAAATTGTAGTTTCTTCCCTCATGACCATATTATGTACAAAATGGCAGTCAATCTGACTGTTCTTGGTCTGCCCATGCAGCTCTTTATTGCTCTGATGTATGTAGCTGCCTGACTATCGCATAAGGGTTCACTATTAGAAACACCCATCTCCTAAGAGTGACTTCAACCACATTTCACAGGACGCATTAGCCATTTGCCGTATTTAACTTCTGCAGTTGACCCTGCACATACATTTTGCTTCATAGATCTCCAAGTAATCAAATGATTACCCAAAAGGTACAAAAACTGGATTCCATTTGTCTATGAGAACGTTCTCCTGCTCAAGAAGCAATTGTGAGGCTTTACGTCTAGGTTGTTAAATGGCTTGAATACTCAACCTTTACTAAGAACTCCTTTCAGTACCTCAAGATTCGACATGCAGCACACTGAGTTTTTGCTTTGTAGTTTGTATAAACTAACTCACTACTTCACCAACAAACTTTATACATGTCTGCTAAACTTGGATTATGATTCATTGGGGTGTCAATCAGTTTTGAGAGCTTGATATATATTGGTTGGCCAATTCCCTAACACTCTTTCAGAGTAAGGGATGATTTAGCATGTTATGACGAATTTGAATCTGAAAGGACTTGGGATCAAGTTTCTCTGTTTGAATTTAATCTGTCTCTATGTTTCCCCACATTCTGTTTATTTGTCTATTTCCATTTTTACTCATTCCCTAATTGCTTAAACTTTTGGGGTAAATGTTGTTCATTCACTAGATATATGCAATATTTTGTGCTTGTGTGACTCGATCACAATTGTTGAAATTATTAGGATTAATTTCAGATATTTTATCAAAATCATTATACTGAATGTTTTTGGCACATGGTAGTGTCTTTCCTTGAAAATTTGGCCACATGAAATAATATTAGTCTGTATATGGAAGTTAAGCCTCGGATTATGTTAATTATAATTGTTGGCTCTATATTCTTTCAACAGGTAGATGACAAGCTATATATATACCTGGAGTATGTATCTGGTGGTTCCATCTACAAAATTCTTCAAGACTATGGCCAGTTGGGTGAAATAGCTATTCGTAGTTATACTAAACAAATTTTGTCAGGGCTTGCATATTTGCATGCTAAAAATACACTCCATAGGTGAGTTTAGTTAATTGGTAATTTTTGGTTTGCTATCATACAATTAGCACACCAATTATTACTCTCTAAATGATCTTTAATCGTCTTAGAATGTCATTTATGCTTAAGGTTTATTAAATTACTTTTTGTTCAGGGACATCAAAGGAGCAAATATACTTGTTGATCCTAATGGCCGTGTGAAATTGGCAGATTTCGGGATGGCAAAGCATGTAAGAGTATACCTCTAGTTTTTTATAGTCTCTATGACATTTTTTAACGTGAAAGAGGAACTAAATTCTGTCTGTAACCATGGTAACTTAAAATGGACAGCATGAATTATGCAAAATATTTGAGGTAAAATATAAATGTTTGGAATTAAGATTAGAAAAGTTAATAATAGTACACACCCATTAAAAAACAGAATAGTACACACCCATTAAAAAACAGACTTCTACTAAGAAGTACTTAAAGAAATTAAGAAAACAAAATTGCCTAAAGTGAGATGGGGCATGCCATGATATGCAATGGGAAGATTGCTGGTGTGACTAGCCTGAACTTCTTTCTTTACTTGAAACCCAAGCCATCAAGCCCTTTGGATTTCAGAAGTTACAAACCTGCCTGAAATGACTTGGGACCACTCAGTGATATGCATAGGAGATAGCTGATGTCACTACGCTAAACTTCTTTTTACTGAAAGCTGCTTCAGTCAAGTCCTTTGGATTGTATTATTGAAGTAGAGAGCCTTCACATGAATTAACTATCCAGCCTGAAGTAATTTGTGGCACATTGTGATCTCCAATTTATTTCTCTGCTTGCTTCAAAGTTGCTATAATCATCGAGGAGGAAACAAATGAACGGAAAAGAGTTTTGGTGTCCCTTTTCTTAAAGTTCTTTTGGTCAACTCCTGTACAAAATCTTTTTCTGAAGTATGGGACTGAAGTAGAGTTGGAAAATGGAGAGAGGAACATGTTAAACAATGAGTGAATTTCAGTTCAATTTGATCAAACTTTTGCAAGGGAGGTATTCATGAGGGTTAATAAGGAAGGGGGTTGTTTGTGGGGTGGGGGGGCGGCGGCAATGTATGCTAAACTGGTTAATTGACGATTTAAGTCTGAGCTTTGCAGATGAAAATGTCACAGGCAAAAAGATGGAGAAAACTCTAACCTTGAATAGAATTAGTAAAAGTGAATTAAGAAAATAAATGTTAACGTTATTTTAAAGAAAACTTCCAAGTCCCAGTAACATTTTTTTCCATATGTATCATAAGTGTTAGTAGTTATGGTCAGACCAATGCAGATTGAACCTATGTTTGCAGAATGAAGAGGAATTCTCTTTGCTAATTAGTTACTTCCAAAATACATGCTTACATTGATGTGTCTTGTATGAACGCCATGCTGTGAATGCTATCTTGCCAAATTTAGGCAAATTGAAAAAAACAAATATTAACTGAGTGGAAATAAGCTTGTTAGAAAAGAATTGGCACACTTCACAACCTGGTTAGTGCTACTGCATTTTGAATACTTTGTGCAAATTTAATTGAGGCTACAGTTTTAAGTATAATCTAACTGGAAAAATTTACAGATTACTGGGCAGAATTGTCCATTATCACTCAAGGGAAGCCCTTACTGGATGGCACCAGAGGTCAGCACTATTATATAGTCTTTCTCTAGTGATTCTCTTCTTGACAATGCATTTTAGTATTGAATTGATTACAATGGTTGTTCAGGTAATAAGGAATTCGAATGGTTGCAATCTTGCTGTGGATGTATGGAGCCTTGGGTGCACAGTTTTGGAGATGGCTACAACAAAACCACCTTGGAGCCAATATGAAGGGGTTAGTGGATTTGGATAGACAGGCTAAAAAAATAGAAAAAGAAAATTCGTTGTTATTGCCTCTGTTACATGGACTCTTCAAAAGTAGTGAAGTACCCGTGTCGGACACATATCCCTCAGACATGGGTATGGGATATGTGTCTGACACTTTTGGTTAGACATGTACTTAAAAAACATATCCAATCATTCAATTACATTATATTATTACTTTAAAAAGAGTTAAATGCCTATATTGAACATTATATTAGATAAAAACATTACTTTACTCTAGAAAATAAAATAAAATAATTAATAAAATGAATATTTAGCCATGTCCGTGTGTCCTTCTTTTTGGAGATTTGACATGTCCGACACATGGATACATACCCGTGTCCGACACCCGTACCCGATTCCATGTAACATAGGTTATTGCATATAAACTATTTTGCTTCTATATAGCCATAAACATATCTCAGTGAGAGCATTCTCATGCTAGAAGTATGGATTGTTTGACCAAATTTTCTCTCTGCACTTCTTCTGAAGGTTGCTGCGTTGTTTAAGATTGGAAATAGCAAGGAACTCCCTGCAATCCCGGCTCATCTCTCAGATGATGGCAAGGACTTTGTGAGGCAGTGTTTGCAGCGCAATCCATTACACCGTCCTACAGCTGCTCAGCTATTGGAGCATCCTTTTGTTAAAGATGCTGCACCATTAGAAAGACCTGTTCTAAATTCTGAACCTCCAGGAGCGGCAACTGCATCTATAAATGCAGTGAGATCTCCTGTAAGTGATCTTCCTTCTTCTTTGTTTCACTTCCCTTGGCCCTCCTCTTCCATGCTATTCTTTTTCTGTGCTTCTTCTGGCACTATACATGACCTATCTCACATGGATACAGGTAGTTGTGTCGGGTATATATACACCTAAGAATCAGATTCATCAGATCCTCAAGTCCAAAGACATGGACACACGGGTAAGCATTCCTTTTATCAATATTCTTCTTTTATGTTTTGGGATAATATGCTGTTTTAATGTAACCCTTGAGTGTTTAAGATATGCACTTCACTCGTTTTAAAGTAATAATGTATCAAAATTAACATCATAAGAGTCTTATGTACAATTATATGTGATGTTTTGGCCCGAATTTGGTGCCGGGTCGCAAAGAGCTCTGGGTAGCTTTTTTGGGTAACACATCTGCAAATGTTTGTTGCAAAGCATGTTCAAAACTAATAATGAATCAGATTCCAGTCTGCTGTTATGTTCTTTGAATGGATGTTATTAGGATCCTTTATACCTTGTGTATCAGAGAGTTGGTCAGGTCCCGGCAAGTTCTTGAATTTTAGATCTCGTTGGACTTTGTTGAGAGGTCCACTGTGCCCCTTTCTGCTACGAAACAAAATATTTGGAGTAAGGACATGGTGTTCAAATTGAATATTGTGTCCAGAAGCTGCTCAGTTTTTGTCCCCCTTGGTGGACTGTGCCTGTTTGTTTGCACCAAAGTATTCTAAGACCAAGTAATGATCTTGTTTGTTCCCGGTTGTGCCAGGTTGATCTATACTCATATCTATTAAGAGATACGGAGCTACTGTATAGGGATGTGAAATGAATTGTAACTTATTGAAGCTGAAATGAGAAGGGATATGAATTACTAATTTTATCATCTAGTGTTGAGCTGCCAGTTTCTCTTATTTAGCTTCTTGCCTGGTCAGGAAGGCTGAGAGATCATTGGCATTATCTATATTGATTTCTTCTAAAATTTAAAATTTGTATGAATAGTCCCTTAGCAGTCCTAGAGATTACCCCTGATTGTTCCAAGGACCAGAAACCTAATTCCATTTTGAGAAAGATGTTTACAACTAGATTAAAGTTCCAAACCCTTAGAACCCATAGTTGTTTCTCGACACAAATTGACATCAAACTTTCTTTTCAAGTCTCTAGGTCGTCCACCCGTTCGTCAACAGACTTCGCTCCTCACAAATCCGCTTCTCGCACTAGTTCAATTTCCAGTGACTAGTCATCTAGCACAATCTCTGTTGAATGGATTGTTGTTGGTGTTGAACTTCACAAATCAGCTCGTCGGCAATGGAGTCAACACTTTCAGTACATACTCACCAATTCTAATGCGATTGATGAATGTAAATGAAAAAATGAATACACTATATAACTCAAAAATATATATCTCCATATGTTTTCTGTATATTCTCTATATTTGTAATTTGTTCCAAAGTAGTGTGTATATGGGCAAAATAGCAGTGCACAAAGAGTTTCTTAGTGTTTTATTTTGAAAAGGAAAGGAAACCTCTAATAATTGATCGATGAAGGAGCATGTCGACCCTCGATTGATCGAAGTGCCCTGCAGATTTATACTTTTGAGAAATTTTCAATAAAATGTTTCCAGGATTTATGGGATTTTCCAAATCGAAACATAAAATCCCATAAATCCTAATGTATGAATGCCTGAACCCTAATATTAGTGAGTGCATTTGAGTGTCAAATTAACTTACACCCTTGTTGCACAAAGATGTGTTGTTATCCTTGTATTGTTAGGTCAATAGGACTTAAGTTGGTAGATTTCATGAAATCAAAACTAGGGTTTGCAACATTGTTTTTATTTTTGGCTTACTTAGATTTTAAGAGTGAGCCAGTTTCATGGCAGTTACCTCTTGGTTAAGAACTTAAGGTAGAGGACTTAAGTTCGACTACCTTTCCTTTAGGCAAGCCTCGCTGGGATTTATTTAGATTAAAATTGGCATGTGGCATTGGGGCATGTCACATGTCCGGAATGGATTGTTCTCACCCAAAGGGTAGGGACTCCCCAATAGTTACATGCGCACACCAAAAAAAAAAAAAAAAAAATCCGAAAGAAGAAGAAATGTAGTCCTTAAATTGTCTCCTTTTTTGTTTCATATAATTACATGCTGAGACGGGCTTTTGACATTGACATATTCAGACATGACTTTAGCAAGTATCAGTTACTGAAGGGCAAACATATATATATATATATAAAACTTTATGGTTACAGCCTCCATTTACCATGCTTCCGCCATCACTTCCCCGTTGTCACCAACTTTATGGACCTTCCGGCGTGACAACTATTAATGATAATTTTGAAATAATTCTCCTTAGTCTTTTGTTGCGGGCTTGACCTGTTATATTCTTCAGCTAATGCCCATTTACTCTTCAAGAGTAGGTAAAGTACCCTTGTTGGATACACAATAATAAACGTAGGTATAAGATATGTTTTCAACTCTTTTGGTTAGACATGCACCTAAAAAGCATATCCAACAATTCAATTGTTATTAAAATATTGTTTCAAAATGAGTGAAATTCCTATATTGAATGCTGCTGTACTTCCATTGGTCTTATATGAATGGACCATGTTCACTCCTGTCATTTGTTGTGGCTTTCAGTGTATCCCTTGGATTGACTTTTGGTTTACCTGTTATGTTTTTAGGACATTGGACATTCCAGAAATCTCTTGTACTTGGACTCAGGAGTGCCTATCCATCATTCTAGAGATTCAAAAACTGGTTCAGGATTCAGGTATGTCTCTCTCACACACACATGCACACACTCATGCACACACACAGACACAATGCACCGAGTCTGAGTCATTATATATATATACACACATGCATGCACTGAGGCACATTTAATATAACATCAGTGGCTGTCAGGATTTGACTGCTTTTGGAAATGTCCATGCCGTTAACTGTCCTTAGATGTTGAATTCAATTTATGCCCTCTCTTCCTTGGAATTCTTTTGTGTTATTTTTTAAATAATAATAATAAAAAGTTCAACAAAAAAAGAAAAAAGAAAAGGAAGAAGAAGAAGAAGAAAGGGAAAAAATGTACTACCTACTCATTAGATGTGGCCTTAATGTTATTGTGAGTTTCATAACTTGTTGCATATGTTGTGATGATTGTGGAGATTTTCTCATATTAACTTCCCGTGGAAGCAACGACATTACTGTCTTTGTTGCCATTAGTTGGATATGAAATATCTAATGGTATGGTACGACAACTATTCAAAATATCTATATTGGTCGAAACTCCAATGATGCATAGTGCTAGTCTGTTGTGCTTTAAAAGTAAATTCAGTAATGGTTTGTTTTAAATAGGCATTTGGTGTCATATATTTCTTATGAGGAAATTCTTCTCATTTCATTCTATCTGATTTGCAGTGATGCCCATATGCTGAAGAATGTATCTTGCCCAGTTTCTCCCATTGGGAGCCCTCTCCTACATTCTCAGTTACCACAACGTATGAGTGGACAGATGTCTCCCTCTCCTATATCCAGCCCACTTACCAGATCTGGTGCATCCACACCTCTCAGCGGTGGCACTGGTGCCATTCTGTTTCATCAGGTCAAGCAGCCGACTACCTACTTTCATGAAGGTATTGGAAAAATACCATCATCTCCAAACAGTCCCTATACCAATGGTGCCTCCCCCTATCAAGACATTAAGCCTGACCTTTTTCGAGGGATGCCACAACCCTCTCGTGCTTTCCAGGGAATAGTTTCATCTGAAAATGGTTTTTATGGAAACCGGTTTGGATGCCCCGGTCATGGAGACCCTAGGGAATTATATGATGAACAGTCAGTGTTGGCTGATCGTGTGTCCCAGCAGCTCTTAAGGGATCATGTGAAGTTGCTGGACCTTAATCCTAGCTCTCATTTGCTCAGTCGTACCATCGGAATTTAACTTACATGTAGGCCACCTGATCGGAGCTGACTCTCAAGCAAATTTTTTTTTTCTCTATGGTTCGTAAAAATGGAAAAGTCACCAATTTGTATGATAGGAATGCAAAGCTAATCTATTGGACAAATAAGATCTTTTGAAAGCTGAAATGGAAGGAGAGGTTATTCAATTATGGCCCCAAGTATTCATGATCGTTTCCTAAGGTAATTAATAATCCTAATTAAAAAGTTTTAGATGCAACTTCTATATCTTTCTTTTATGGTCAAATGCTGATCTAGACAACTAAATATTTTGGTTTTGCAGAAGCTTCTCCAGCAATTCAGCAGTTCCTTACAGTGAAGAACCTTTTGGCCAGCGTAAAGAACCTCACATTTTTCAGTTATCAAACATGAAAAATAGAGGAGTTCTTGGAAAACTGTTGGCTTTTAGACTTAGTTTTAACCTTTTTGTTGCTTTTTTTTTTTTTTTTTTTTTTTTTTTTTTTATTTATTTCCCGGTGGGAGGGCAGATGGGGAGAGGGAAGTAAGGTGAAGCCGTTGTACAGTAACTTAAAACAGTCCAAATTTTGTTGACAAACAAGTTTATGCATAACCAGGCGTTGCCTGTTGATTTAATGCTGAATTTGAACTTATATCTGCATCATAACTGTATTAAATTTAGACATATTAATGGAGTGGAGATTGTCACATAAGTATGATCTGAAGGATCTGCAATCTTGCACCAGAAATCATAAATGATGCTTCGTGTTATAGTTGTACTCAGATTGTACCCAGTATCTAAGTCCGTACTTGGACCTACTGTACAGAAAGAGAGCTTTCTATCTACAAGTCTAATTAGGAAGAATTAGCAATTTTGTCACAACCAAAGGAATAAGGACCCCAATTACCTGTGTGTTTCTCTTTAGGTAAATTCCGTTTACCTCTCTTTAGTTTTGTCAATATCGACCCTCTATGGCCCATGGGCAAAACGGCAAAATTGACTGAGGTAAGTGGAACTATAAACCCTATAGGACGTCTATGTAATATTAACAGATCTCAAAGGAGGTAAATGAAGTTTACCCTTAACCAAGAAAATATCGGTTACTTCATGAAGGCAGCCTAACTGAAATAGAACACCTCAGAAGTTGAGAGTGATCACTGTTGTGCAGTAACCACGCCACATGACAAATTCCAAGCGAAATATTCTGATCGGAAAACAACTTATATAACTGCAGAGTCCGTTGTTTTAGGGTCCATTTGGCATGCGTTTTGTTTTTAACGTTTTGTTTTTGGCTAAAACAGAAACAATGTTTTTGTTGTAGGAGTGTTTTGGAAAAAATTCTAAAACACGTTTGGGAACTATATTTTGCTGTGGAAATGGGGGAAACAAAAACATACAAAACATGTTTGGTCTCACAAATATATATATATATATATATATATATATATATATATATATATATATAAATTTTTGCAATAAACTATTAGGTAACAGCAGGCGATGGAAGCTTGCGAATGGCAAACCTGAATTGGAACAGCAGGTGATGGAAACTGAAAGATATGGGTTTTAATTTTTTGAACAATCTGAAATGATATGCCTGGGTTTTGATATAGGTAATAGGTTTTGATTATATAGGTAATAGGTTTTGATTTTTGCAAACAGATATGGGTTTTGAACTTCTGAAATATGTGGGTTTTGAATTTTTGATTCTTGTAGATTTTGTAGTTTGCAATTGCAGAGAAAGAGAGAGAGAGACAGAGACAGAGAGGGCAAGTTCAGATCTGAGACAGAGAGGGCAAGTTCAGATCTGAGAACGAGAATAGAGATGGAGGTATAGGTAATAATAGGTGCAGACAGATAGATAAACTGAAATAAATGGGTTTTGAACTACTGATTCTTGTAGATTTTGTAGCTTGCACTTGCAGAGACAGAGAGGGGGTAAGATCTGAGTAGAGAACGAGAATAGAGATGGAGGTGATTGGAAGTGATTTGCGATCGCCCAAAATCGCCAAGAACAGCTGCGCCAAACAAAACCCTAGAAAATGAAATTTTGCCTTTTATACGTGTTATACTTGCTACAGTTTAATGAAAGAATTGCTTCCTCCGCTACAGTAATTTGTAGCCCAAACAGTGCCAAACATGAAAAAACACCAAGATGGTGTTTTATATTTTGGGCCTATTTTTGAAATTGTTTTGGAACTATTTAAAACACAACAAGCCCAGCCAAACATATTTTGGGCTTCAAAAGGATTACTGTAGCAGGCCAAAAACAAAACAAAACAAAACAGATGCCAAACAGGCCCTTAGAATTTAAACCGGGCATAGCAAAACTGTAAATTCTGGTAGCAACAGTGCTTACCTGAGAATAAGGACTAGCTCATTGGTAAGATATGCGCAAAAAAGGATAAAAGAATGCATGCATTTCTAAGCTCATTGGTAAGAACATAATACAGCAGTTCCTGATAATTTACACACATAATTAACACTTAAACATTAAATCCACGTGAAGAAGAGACGGAAAGAAAATGTTGAAGTCATGTGGATGCGAGACATGGCACAAAACTCGAATTACAAAAACTAGGCCCCGGTCTTGAAAGGAATGGCTCTGATGACTAATTGGTGATACAAAGCAGCAAGAGCAGCTCCAATGAAGGGTCCTACCCAGAAGATCCACTGAAACCGAAAAAAAAAAAAAGTTACAATCAGAACTCTATACCAAAGAACATATATGATTTTGAGAAGTTCTCAGTATGTTTCAGTCATTAGATTTACGTGGTCATCCCATGCACGGTCTCTGTTGTAGATGATGGCGGCACCGAGGCTCCTTGCTGGATTTATGCCTGTTCCCGTGATGGGGATGGTGGCCAAATGAACCAAGAACACGGCAAACCCAATGGGAAGAGGAGCCAAAATCTGCAATACAACACAATACATAATGAGAAAATTGAAAACATAAAATGTTAACATTTTGGATGTGATGCACAATGGCCAGAAATTTGTTTGGAGGCACACCTTTGAATAATAACAAGATAAGAACTTTCTGAACAAATGTAATAATTATAACGAACATTGATTGATAATATTTTCATTTGATAAATTTACTATTTGTCTCTAGAGGAGTTTTATTAAGGGAAAATTACACAAAAGTGGGCTTTTGGGAATTTATTTACCTAAAGATGGAGTCAAAGTCAACATTTTTCAAAGTTATGGACTTTGAAAAGTGTTGATGTGGACATGAATTTTCAATGTTCATTTCCTTAAATACCCTCTAGCTGGTCAACTGAAATCCTTATAACTTTATTTTATGAGGTACCCTACTTTAAGGTCCTACTTTTGTGCCACTAGGTACCACTTTTTGTACATATGGGTACCAATTCTATACACAACATTTTTTATTTCTATAGGTGACACGAATTATGTTGCATCTAATATTTTGATAATTGTCAGTAGGCTTCTCACTATGACAACCCGTGATCAAAATTTACACCCTTTAGATAACCAGTTGTTGAAACATGTACCACTTTTGTTCATTTGGGGGTACCACGTTTTCTACACGTAGGTACCATTTTTTGTAATAGGAGAGGTAGTTAAGAGGTTTCAATTGAACAGTAAGAGGGGCATTTTAGGAAATGAACAGTGCAAATCCATGTCCACATCAGACTTTGGTCAAAATCCATAGATTTGAGAAACGTTGACTTTGACTCCATCTCTAGATAAATACTCCCAAAAGTCCACTTTTATGTAGTTTTCCCTTCTATTAACTTAAAAAAAAAAAAAAAAAAAATTTATTTTTATTTTTATTTTTTATATATTTATGCCCACTCATTTATGATCACACATTTATGTATGTATTGTGTCATCTATACTCGGTATTCAAATTGAGTTTGAATTGCTTATATATATGAACATTGTATGGGTAACGAAAAGTGTGGAAATTTATTTATTTATATGGACATTGTATGGGTAACGAAAAGTGTGGAAATTTATTTATTTCAAGCTAAATCAAAATATAATTCTGTCCATGGTGGAGTAGCTAGTGGGGACACGTGCCCCCACTGAAATTTTTTTATTTTTATTTTATTTTTTGAAAATTTTGAAAAGGTCCTACCTCAAATTTGATAAGAGTAATGCTATTGACCTCCACTTGGGCTCGCCCACCATGGTTGGCGAGGCCCACAAGGAGCGTGTCTTCTCAACAATAAACCAAGTCAAGGAAAATTTCATGTGGACGAGAGAGAGAGAGAGGGAGAGAGACCCAAATTGTGAGAGAAAAAAAAAAAAAGAAAAAAAAAAAAAAAAAAAAAAAACCTAAGAGAGAAAAGTGAGCATGAGACCCATGCCACCATGTTGGATAGTTTGGAAGAGAGAAAGAGAGAGACCCAAATTGTGTGAGGAAAAAAAAAGGTGGAACCTCAGACAGAGAAGTGAGAGCATAAGAGACCCATGCCATCATGTTGGATAGTTTGGGAGAGAAAAAAAAAAAAAAAGGTGGTTTATCAATTTTGAGTGGAGGCTTCTTCAAATTTTTCAAAAAATTATATATAAATAATAAAAATAAAAAAATTTGAGTGGGGACACACATCTCCATGGGCCATGACGTGTAATTAAGGGGTTCATGATATTTTCTACAACGAATAATTTGGATACATAGTTTTATGTGTGTCTTTGATTAAGTATATTCTTGGTTGATGGATTGTGTAATTGAATATGAAGATAGGATTGTTGGATACAATAATAAAATTAGTTTTAGATGTCAAATTTAGGTAAATACCATGTAATAACAAGAGATACTATGAAACCCTAGTTGTAGAGAATAGTATAGAAAGCCTAAATACAGTTCTGTCTTTGATTAAGTATATTCTTGGTTGATGGATTTTGTAATTGAACATGAAGATAGGATTGTTGGATACAATAATAAAATGTGTTTTAGATGTCAAATTTAGGTAAATTCCATATAATAACAAGAGATACTATGAAACCCTAGTTGTAGAGAATAGTATAAAAAACCTAAATACAATTTCTCTCAAACTTAAATACTAGTTGTAAGCTATTCCTAGATTATTATTTTTTTATACAAGTATTTGATTCAGTAAGCTATTCCCAAATATTATAATTATTATTATTTGTTGTATATTTATATTATTACTAGTTGTATATCTATAAAGAGAGAGACCCACAGACTAAGGAAGAGAGAGAATGGATAGTGCAGAGAGAGCTTTTATTCCTTAAAATCACTTCTTTTTTTTGTGGCCCATACAATGTCCATATATTTTGCAAACTCAACTTGGGGCACCAAGTATACACACATACAATACATAAATGTGTGAGCCTCATTTGTTATACATATATAACATTATTATTATTATTATTATTATTTACTTATATTTTAATTTACTTCTAACCATATTATATTTTTAAATAATACCACTGAACCAATTCCACTCTAATTTTGTTATACATATATAACATTATTATTATTATTATTTACTTATATTTTAATTTACTTCTAACCATATTATATTTTTTAAAAATACCATTCATTCCAGTCTAATTTTTTAAAGTATAGGGTTATTATCTTCCCTCTGTTGACATGGTTTATCACAATCTTCGCATTTTTTTCTTTTTTTTTATGCGTTGGCTATCTTAACATTTCACTTTATTTTTCTTTTGAAAAGAATGCTATAGTACCAAAGAAATTGATCACATTTTCTTACCTATATACACACAATAGAGTAGGGATCTCACTCACTTGTGTCTAAAGTGAGAGAGAATGTGATGAGTTTAAACTTTAAACCCCAAGTATAGCATTTATACCGAGAAGAGCTTACAATTGCTTCCGCACAAAAAATTTAAACCAAAAGAAGTGACAAGAATTTTTGAAATACACAATAATTGTGTTATAAATTTCAAAAATTCCACTTTCACATCTATTGGGATGAATTTTCATGTGGAACTAGAAAGAAATCAATTTTTTTTTTTTTTTTTTTTTTTTTTCTCGAAAGTTCAAACAAACACACACCCACTATATAACAAAATATAACGGAGGTATGTTTGCTTGAACTTTCGAAAAGAAAAAAATATATATTTTTTCCCAAAACAAATTAAATATATATATTTTTTTATTATGAGTATATCAAATTATATTTCTAAAAGTAAGCAACACATTAAATACTATTAAATTAACTTTAAATTAAGAGTGTCTATGACACTTGCATTTTTTATGTTTCATGAACTCAAGATCAGGTGCTGTTGCATGTCAGATAAGATCAAGGCAGGTGTCCTAAAAATGTTTTAGGATAATTCTTAAGAAGAGAGTGTGGTTCATGAACCATAAAATATTTTTTGAAAGTATTCCTAACAAGTAACTACTATTATTCATGCAATGTTAAGAGGAATATCGAATGATGACACAAATTGCAAGTAATCAAGTCTAGTAATATGTTTTCTGAGGATGGAATAAAGAATGAGAAATGTTCTTGCAATAGCTTATTTAATTGCTGAAAAGGAAGTTTGCATGCTTCCAGTTACTTCAGAACGAACAAAAAAGCTTTTTAATTATGATAACAAAGAAAAGTGAGCTTAAAAAATGTCATTTCCCATGAAATAAGATCTTGGTATGAGATAATACCTGATGAGAGGGTCCTACAACACACATCCACAAAGCTACTACAAAACTTGAAAAAGTACCCCAACATATCAAAGTGCCCAAACACAGCACATGCAAGCCAATAATTTTCTGGATAGAAAAATGATAAAGCCTTCCACTCTCACCAAACACAAAAAGATCTTGGTATGAGATAATACCTGATGAGAGGGGGTCCTACAACACACATCCACAAAGCTACAAAACTTGAAAAAGTACCCCAACATATCAAAGCGCCCAAACACAGCACATGCAAGCCAATAATTTTCTGGATAGAAAAATGATAAAGCCTTCCACTCTCACCAAACCCGAAAAGATACCCACCCTACCTGCTCACTTATACCCTCCACCAGAAACCACTCATGGATTCAGGAAAAGCACAATATTCCCTCAAAACCATCTATGGCAAAATCAAACCACGGAGAGAGATTTTATGCAGCTGTCCAGACTGACACCAGTAAGCATAATCAATGAGAAATGCACTTAGGGCATCCGGTATGCACTCATGAGTGGATAATACGTGAAGAGAGTAGAGACAGGGAGTTGGTAACTTGGTATGGGTGGGGGAGTTGTGTCTCCCATCAGTGGACCCCACCCCTTATTATTTACTCCAATGTAGGGGTGACAATTCGTGTTTGCGGGTCATAATCGTGTCGTGTCGATTTAAAGGTATTCTACTAAACAGCTCAACCCGAATACGACCCATTTAATAATCATGTCAGGAACCCTCAACACTAACCCAACCTATTTAATGACCTGTTTAAATCATTAATAATACTCTATCAAACATTAAATACTAGAAAAATGTAAGTTTCAATCCAACCAAGTTACTAAATAATCTCTAATCTTAAAAACAAAAAAAAAATTATAAGATACAAGTTTAGATAGTTATTTTGGAATTGAAATAGAAATTTGCTTTTGACACATATAGTTAAACGGGTTACACGGGTTCCCCCTCAACCTAAACAGGACACAATTAAGTTGATTAACTAAACGTGTCGATGCGTTTACGACCCGAACCCGTTAAAAGTCAACCCAAACCTGTTTTAACTCGTATCGTGTTGACGCGTCGTGTCAAACTTTGGCGGGTTAATAGCATTGGCAATTCGAGTGAAATAGATTATTATATGTCTTGTTCTTGTCACTTCTTGGTACATATCATGAATCTACTTTTTACTTACATTTTATGGCTCCCCCACTATTTTCTATCTCCCTTATCAATCATACTAGCTAGAAGAGCTTCCATTGAGTTTATGGCCTATCCTTATTTTTAATTTTCACTTTCCGAACCTTTGCTTGTTTTCGGAAAACAAGATTTGGCTA